CTCACACCAACCCATGACAGCTGGGGATTAAATTAATCTGCCCGGCACTTCAAAAATCAGGTAGGAGCATGAAAAAGAGCTGAGACAATACCATGCAGCCCAAGATTTCATGCAACCACTGGTGACAAGAGAATTCCTATCCAGTGACAGTGATAGTGAGAACGAGAACAAGACGGAAGAAAGTGCAAGTGAAACAGCCAAGAAACTGATTGAGGAAATGAAATTAACAGATTCTGAATCAGAAGCAGAGGAAAAGATGGAAGAAAAGAAAAGTGAGATGGACACAGAGGTCGAGATGCTGGAGGCAGAAATAAACAAGATAGATGTGGAAACGGAGAAACAAGAGGAAAGAGAAATAGAGTTAGAAGAACTAGACAACAAGATGCAAAAAGTAAAAGAAGCGATTAAAGAGCTTGAGAGAAAAATGGAGGAGAAACGTGCAGGAAAAGATATGATTTGTGGAGGATTGAAGCTAGACATGCAATGGAAGCTGGTGCCACTTACCTTGAACATCGAACCAAGTGGAAGACAGGAATGGATGAGTAAGATTTACAAGGAACGAGATGAAGTAAAAGCTACCTTAAAATTGCATCCAAATGATCCACGTAAGGATACAAGATGCGGGAAGTGCAGACAGCGATATCACACTGCGAAAGATTGCCCAAATTAAGGTTTTCAGTTCTCATCTAACTAGTTTTTCAAAACTCTAGGAAAACGGTATCTCAAGTGCCAAACAAATCGTTGAAAAGTTGTGATAAATCATTCCTGTTTACGTGTGATAAAAATTGTTCTGTGTTTACTGCCTAAGTGCCAAAGTCATAGACCATTCCGGTAAACCGTAAAGAAAGAAGAAGAGACGGAAGAAGCAAAGCGTTCTATGAGAAATGTACGGTGTGCCTTTGGAACGCTTGAACGTAATCCATCGTAAACTAGATATTCTGCGTCGCTTGAGAGTGAGAACTATTGTCATTAACTCTCAGACGAATTTAGACATCACACAAGTCACGTTTAACCGTTTGATACGACCGTGGAACCGACGCACCACCGTTTATTTCTCATACTCGCCTTTGCTTCTTTCGTCTGTTCTTCTTTTTCTCGCTTTACCGGAATGGTCTATTGTTCCTGTAAGATGTAATCAATCATGTCAAAAGTAAAGTACTGTAATATGTTAACCGTTCATGCTCAAGTTTGCAGTAAAATCAATGGAAAGATAAAGGAGTTTCAATCCAAGCACCAAAAATTATAAGAGCGAGTTTTATTATACAGAGATCATAATTCAATCGCATAAAACGCGTCAATCAGATAAAATAAGCTGAGTCGCCAGTCAATAGAGTGAAACGAGTTCTCCACTACTAACAACCAGTCTTAGAGATAAAAACAAATTAAATCTATCTTTGGAAAGAAAGACTGATAAATCACAAAACTTAAAAACTAAGATCAGACTGCAGGATCACAAATCATAAACTAGATATAGCTTAGGCGAGGGAATCATAAACATGGCTCAGGCGAGGAAAATTAACAACTAGATATGGCTCAGGCGAGGAAAAATCATAAACTAAAGATGGCTTAGGCGAGGAAAATCTTAAGCTAAAATTGAAACGGTCACTCTCAAACATAATGACTAATATCACATCTGAAAAGACGAAAATAAAAGTTTAAGACAAAGGACAAGGGGGCGAGGAGGAAACAGGTGAAGGTAAAAGGAAACTAACCTCACTCTTCCCGAGACGGTTCACCCTCGTCCGGTGGCTCATCCATGACCCGCATGATTTCAGTCTGCAAGAAAGAAAGAAAACATTGAAATGACAACAAACAACAAAAAAACAAAAAAGAAACAAACAACGAAGACGCGGAGAAACCAAAGAACGCATGAAGGGCCAGCCTAGACACCGCGCACAGATGTAGCCGCTATGAGGACCGTACAAAAAGTCCAAACCGAACTTTAATCTTTTATAGCAATAATGGCCAGTTAGCACAAAGTCCGGCGCAGCTAAAGGGGCGCAAGGCCCACACAAAATAATATCTTCACCATCCTCGAGCGCACAATGATAATGTAGGAAAACTACAACGGACATGACTACGAAGGTGCGAGCGAACACAGGAAAAACCGTTACACAGCAGTTCAAACAAACTGACTCTGTTCCTCGTCGCTGACGAGATCGACGACTTCAACAGCATCCTCGAACACCCCGAGCTGGACATCATAAAGGATGTCGGCGAGAAAATTATTCAAATGGGACAGATTGGCCGGGAGCGCGGCGACTACAGGGTTCTCCAAGCCCGGGTAGATGACGCCATGAGGAGGTACTTGAGGCACCTCAGCCAGCCAGGCGTTGCCCGGGAAAGGCAGCTCATTCATGGCTCCAAAAATGACCTTA